CTTCCCGGTAGCGCTCCTGACGGATCTAGTGTCCTTGCGCGGTCACGCGCTCCGCGTGTGCGCGCTCTGCCACCTGTTTGCCGCGTGCCCGGTGTGTGCCCCCGTAGTTCCTGCGCCAGGTCGCCCGTACTCCATGCTCGGTCCGCCATCAGCGACCTTGACTCCCCCGTACTCCATTCGTCCGGCGAGGTGCCGCGGTACATGCAAGAGGTTCAACGCAAATTAATCAAATGCACGCGTTTTACATTCGGGCCTCCCGGAGATTTCGGTCTCTTATCGACGCTGCAGTTGCCGGCTCCGTAAAAAGGGACGCGAATCCGCGCCTTGTGACGGCGGCGGGACGCTGCTCCGCCGCAGCGGACTGCGGCGTCACAATGCATAGGCATTTTAGTTGTCCCCTCCTCGGTAGATGGCATTAGTAGATGACTAAATAATTGTGCTTCAGCTTTCAATATGGCAGCTTGAACCCCCTGCTGTAGAGACACAGAGCGTCGGTGGATGCTCGGAGTGTATTTATTTAAACATAAAGTAATAGATGTATAGAGAGACAACTCCTCCTTTGAGGATTGATGCACATGCATAAAGGCGATACGATCTTGAGAATTGAAGAACGAAATTTAGGCCTGTCCTCATGACATAGAAGTGTACGGCTGCACTGGTGCATGCCCCGAGCCGTTTTTTACCTCTGAGTATCCATGCGGCGATCTTTAGAGCGAAACCGTCGAACGTTTTTTCATGTGTCGTATGCGGAACGCATTCGAGAGTTGAATTTCGGCATTATTATGAGAATTGGAAAATACGGCAGGTTCTCTCAGGCGTAGAATACCCACTCTGTGTGGGGAATTCGGATAGATGTAGCAAAGTCTTGGCTCCCAGTGTTACTATAAATGTACATGCTGTTTCTGGGGGTGGCTGTGGATCTTTTTGCGTGCGTGCCACGGGTGGCATTCGGCTGAATGTATATAGTAGATTAGGTATGTTCTGTTTCAAGTTGAGTTGCGTATTCTAGTTTCTTTGCAAAGCGTTATCATCATTATTATTATCGGTAGTAATAAAAAGTTAATGCGTTGATTGTTACTGTTTCTAAAGTTTAATTCTAGCCTCAATAGGGTTATCATCATTATTATTATTATTAGCGAAATAAGGCTTTGTGATGTTACTGTGTATAGGTTAAGTTGCGTTCAGTTCAATTAGGCTAAGTTACTACGATTAGTGCTCCATAATCCCGTTCGCCAAGGGGTTGATGGATAGAGGTGTGCTTGCTCCCCTAACTCTCTTGAGTTCGTGTCGCATCAAGCAAGAACTGAGGAGTGATGGCCTAAGGGCAATAGGTGTAAGCTTAGTGGACTACACCGGAAGGAATAAGGTACCAGGTGGATAGTAGGCGGAAAGCCTGAAGGAACGGCACGACTTCTAGTGCAGCGCGAGGCGCACAACGCTATATCTGAGGTACGATTGTGCCGATGAATGCAGGCAACTAGTCAAGATCCTTTCTCTGCATGTCTGTGATCCCCGTAGACCGGACATGAGCAAAAGGGGCAAGAGAAAATCTCTTGACAAAAAGTCAAGTTTCAAAATGAAAAACATGGAAAGTCAAGGAAAGAATAAACCACCCTCGGGGACTCGGACTCCTGAGGAACGGCGCGAGGAGGATACTTGTCCCTGTCCTTCCGCGTCGACATCGTGCGAAGGGAGCGGGGCAGGGGGGACCACGATCCCCCTGCTCAAATCTGTTATCGTGAAGGTGGAACGCGTAAAGCTGAACGTAACGAGGGTTAGAGAGAGCGCTAGCTCTGGGGCGGAGACAGATACGTCGGCCGCGGAGGTCAGCATGGAGGAGGATCAAGACGAAGAAGTTTTTGAGAAACCTGCCCCTGTGGAAAAAGGAAACAAGAAGAAGAGATCCAATGTCATTAGAGACTCTCCAGAAGCAGAAGTGGAATACGTCTCGACTGAGGTTGGGCCGGCATCGAGGCCAAGCACACCACGTAACCAGGATGTGGAGCTAGTCTCGTACACACCTGGAACAAGGTCAAGGAGAAACTCCGATTCGTCGCGGGCCTCGACCAAAAAAAGGAAGCATAAGTTCTCCCCCAAGGACGCCGAAGAAGAGGATGAACCGCTGTTCTGTAGGTTTGCGGACAATCAAGCGCAAGCGATTGGCAAACGTCTGAATCAAATTGAGGAACTGTCCTCGGCTGATATGGCGGCAAGGGCCAATGAATGGCTGAGCGAAGTCGAGCAGTACCGTGGAAAGTCCAAAAATATTAAAGGGTCCTTCACACATAAGATAAAGGTGGGAATTGCATCAGCTGCTGAGGTGATCAAAATCCTGGCTATGAGGGCCGCCATGGATGGTGATTCTGGCTTCATGCGCGCAAAGATTGTTGAGCTACAGAAGGACATGAAGGCCCTAAAAGAAGAGAACCAACAGTTGAAAATACAGATAGAGGATCTACGCAGCGGAGCTTCACTGTTTGGGGACGCTAACAGAGAAGGCGGAATGGACACGGCAGGGTCTCCGGGGCCGTCAGCTGAGTTCTTCAGTCCGATGGCAGAAATGCCTCAGGTTGTTGAAAAGAGAATGGGGCCAGAAGCATATATGACACCGGCCAGACCGAGAGGATCCCCCAACTACAGTCTGAGGGATCTCCCTGCGGGGAAAAATTTCTTCACGAAGCTAACGGGCGCAATCAGCCACGCGGTAGCGGATGCCATTAAGAAGCACCTACCGAGAGAAGACAAGACAGTAACACGGGAAAAGTTGGGCCAGCCCAGGATACTCGATAAGGTTAAACGTACGGAGAGACCCTCCTCTGTCTCCGGAGCTACGGAGTCACAGACCGAGGATGACGGAGCGACACGCCTGTCGGTTTCAAGTAAGGTGACGCGGAAGAAGAAATCCCGTACCCAAACCAAGAAGGAAGAGACATCCAAGATTCCAGTAAGGAGAGAGAGAGAGCGATTGGAGGAGGGAAATGGGAGAGCGGATTTCCCATCCCTGGCCGTGCCGAACCAGGATAGACCTGTGAACACTGGAGCACAAAGGGGGAATGCCGAAGTCAAACAATGGCGTGTTCCGCGATCCGCCGCAGTAACCATGTCCTTCCCTGATGGGATGAAGTTTGCGGACGTGGTAAAGAAAGCCCGGAACAGTGTCAGGCTGGAGGAACTCGGAATTGAGCACACGAGGCTGAGGACCACACTATCAGGCGCGGTGCTGGTGGAGCTGCCAGGCAAAGATATGTCCCCAAAAGCGGACTCGCTGGCGGAAAGACTTAGAGAGGCATTTAAAGGATCGGAAGTGAGGATAGCCAAGCCGTCCCTGAGAGGGGAATTGCGTTTCTCGGGACTAGATGCGTCAATTGGCCCAGAAGAGATTAAAACGGCTATGGCCAGTGCTGGAGGCTGCACGACGGCTGACATCCGAATGGGACAGACTAGAGTAACGAGAAACGGTTTTAGAACGGTGTGGACCCAATGCCCGCTCACTACAGCGGTGCAGCTAGCCCAGGAGGGAAGACTCCGAATTGGGTGGTCTACGTCAAGAGTTGACTTGCTGAAGAGGCGCCCGGTCCAGTGCTTCAGATGCATGGCCACTGGCCATGTCAGGGAGAGATGCCCGAGCAAGGTAGATCGCTCCGCCTATTGCTTCAACTGCGGAATGGAGGGACATTTGGCCAGGGATTGTGGGAGGTTACCCGAATGCCCGATCTGTAAGGATCAAGGTCGTAGGTACGACCATAGAGCGGGATCGGATGGATGTCCTCCATGTCCACCGAGGAGGGACATGAGCTTGAGTCCAAAACCACAGAGGAAGCCGGCCGATCGGAGCAGTGCGGCTACACCTGGAGGAGCAGTATAGCGACACTCGTACAAATTAATACGAACAGGTCGACTGAGGCACAGAATCTCCTCATGCAGATTATGCATGAACGAGACTGTGGGTTGGCCTGTATCCAGGAACCGTACGTTGTCCCCAATGACCCGAGGTGGGCACGATCCATCGAGAACCCGCCCATGGCTGCCATCACATGGCAGGGACCACGAGTGCCGAGCGCAGTGAGTGTACTAACCCGCGGCCATGGCTTCGTGGTAGTAAGATGGGAAAGAATAGTCGTGGTGTCGTGCTATTTCTCCCCCAATAGAGAGATTAATGAATTTAGGGCGTATCTACAATCAATTGGGAATGCCATCTCGGACCACATAAGGGGCCCGCTAATTGTAATGGGCGATTTTAATGCGCGATCCCATCTCTGGGAAAATACACATCCCACGATAAGAGGCGACGTACTGGTCACCTGGGCGGCAGCCTTGGACCTGAGGCTTATTAACGAAGGAACAAACCCTACGTGCGTAAGGCCGCAGGGGACCTCCGTGATCGATCTGACGTGGACATCATCAGCGGTACTGCCTGCGATCCGATCCTGGGAGCTCGCGGTTAACGAGGAGTCGCTGTCCGACCATCGACTCATTTTTCTCCGACTGCATGGTAAGAGGGACGTACCTGTGGAGCGCTCAGCACACAACTTCCCTAAATGGAATTTGAAGAGCCTCAAACCTAAGCTGCTAAGGGCGAGTCTAGCAGTGGCCTACTGGCCTGCGGCGAGGGATGACGAAAGGGCGGAAGTGCTAGCCACGCGGCTGCAGGGTGCACTGAAAGCGGCAGCCGACTTATCCATGACCCGACACAGGGCTCGTAGACGTAAGGCGGTCTACTGGTGGAATGACTGCATTGCGGACTTGAGAAAAGAGTGTATCGCATTAAGGAGAAAGGTAACCAGGGGTCGCAGAAGGAGACGAGCCACGATACTTGCCCTGGAAACAGAGCTGGCACGAACACGTAAAATGCTCAGGGTGGCAATACGCGATGCGAAGAGCAATGCGTGGAAGGATCTCCTGGCGTCAATTGATCGAGACCCCTGGGGCCGCCCATATAAGTTGGTTATGGTTTGAAAAACCAAAAAAAAAATTTTTTTTTAATTTTTTTTCTCAGTGTATCTATGTATGTGGATAACTTCAAACGTTAAAATAAACATTTTTTAAACATTAAAAAAATATTTCTTCAGACGTTAAAATAAATGTTTTTCAAACGTTAAAAAAATATTTTTTCAAACGTTAAATA